CCCACCCCCAGCGCACCCCCTGTGGCGTCGAGGAAATGCCACGCCTGCCACGCCCTGCGAGCCTGCAACGCATAGTGCCCCCACCCCCAGCGCACCCCCTGTGGCGTCGAGGGAATGCCGTGCCTGCCACGCCCTGCGAGCCTGCAACGCATAGGGCCCCCACCCCGAGCGCACTCCCCCGTGGCGTCGAGGAAATGCCACGACTGCCATGCACTGCGGGAAAATACACGACTGGGGCGTGCTGTGCATGTGCTGTGCTGTGCTGTGCTGTGATGTGCTGTGCATGTGCTGTGCTGTGCTATGATGTGCTGTCCTGTGCTGTGCTGCGGTCTGCTGTGCTGCGCTGTGCTGTGCTGTGCTGTGCTATGCTGTGCTGTGTTAGAAGGAGAAGGAGGCGGGAGGTGATGAAGACGAGGGTGCGACGCGGGTGGAAAGAAAACCAGAACCCCACGAAACATGTGGGGACAAAAACTTCACCGCCTTAGAACCGGACCCCCCCCCCACAGACCAAACGAATCAGTTTGTCGAGTTGCATCCAGCCGCGGCGAAGAGGACCCCCGAAGGCCAAAAAGCCTTGAACATCGATATTCGAGGCTCGAACTCCGAACCGATCAGGCAAGGGGGGCCAGGGAGAGAAGACGCACCTAGAGGGAGGCAGAGAGGATCGTGGAGGAAGGAAGGCAAAAGGAGTTTTGTTGTTGAAGCTGGTTCCGCTCAGACGGCAATCGACATGCGCACAGACAGCCGAGCGCGGCAGCACCCGGGCGCAAAAGTAACATCCAAAGGTGCTTTCCCACAGGAACTGCGCCGCGCGCGACGACCGCAAAGCGAGTCGAGCAATTTCTAGAAGGCCCTGCGCGGTATCCGAAGCACGGAATGCGATCCTCGCATGAAAGACGCGCGCACTAAGGCACGCAAAGCATGTTTCTCGCCTTCGACCGCGAAAGGGGGAACAAGACAACGCATCAATTCGCAAGATGTTTTGAAAACTGATGCTGCAAAACCATGTGGGTGTTTATGTGTTCGGGGCGTTCGATGTTGAAACCCTTACAAAACGTACGGTTGATGAAAGATTCCGGCATGCGCGCGCGTGCACGCGTGCACTTCGCCGCATGTTTTGAGATAGGTTAATGCGACAACACGCGCGCAAGGGCGTTCGAACGATTTCGGCATGCGCGCGCAAGAGGCACGCTTGGTAGCATGTGAAGAGAAGCGTTGGAAGCCGAGGGTTTTGTTCAGAATTCGCAGGAGCGCGAGCATATGTTCTGAAAAAACCATGGTGCGAAACCAGTGGTTTTAATATGCCTTCGGGGCACTCGGTTTTGAAATACGAACGACACCTAGAAAGTTGTTTGAAGGATTTCGGCATGCGCGCGCGACGACGCGCGCATGAATTTCGCCCTACGGCTTCAGATCCAATCTCTGCAAATGATGACTTGTGATAAACGAGCGTGCGCGCACAAGTGCTGCTGCAGAGGAGGATGGGGGGTCGATAAGGGACCGCCTGGGATGGTGTGAACTCATATTATGATGAACGATGGGGCAGAATCCTATGTAGAGACCTATGCAAACAGGCGGGCCGTTAAGCTCGGGGGGGAAGTCCGACTCTTCTTTTGAAAATGTGAACCGGCGTAGTGCACTCTATGGAGCGCAACCTACGCGACGCAAGCTATATGGCGCAAAAATTTTGCTCATGTTAAAGAATGGATTGAGAATTCCACTCTCGCGCAATCATCCCACCCACCCACCCGCAGCTTGGTTTGCAAAACCCATGCGGCAGCGAACGCGATGAGTTCGGCATTGGCTGGTGAATGTCTGCGGCCGCGCTAGCCCGCGCTTGCTCGCGCGCACAGCGGCCAGCTAGTCTGGCGCGACCGACGCGGCCGCGGTGGTGCTGACTGCTGATGACTTCTCAGCGGGCACTTCAGTGCGAGTCAGCGACGTGGGCGGGAGCGGTGTCACGGCGACGTCGACAGCGGTAGACACGCTGATGATGGTAGCGACGGTGATGACGATGGTGAAGATGATGACGGCAATGCCAATGACGGCATCGATGCTGATCACGCCGATGACGATGGATCCCCTCGCGTCGCGAGCGTGCCCTCTCCCCCTTCCGCACGCGCGCAAGGGCGTTCGAACGATCTCGGCATGCGGCGCGAGAGACCAATTTGGTCGAGTGTGATGAAACTGTTGAACAAAAACGATGGCGAGCGAGAGCTGTTTTGAAAATGATGTTGGACACTCGATATATAATTCATCGCGAAATCTTTTGTTTCTGAAGTATTTCGGCATGCGCGCGCGACGACGCGCGCGTGTGCACTTCGTCGTACTTTCTGCCAGGGATTATTGCGACAGCGCCCGCGCGCGCAAGGGCGTTCGAACGATTTCGACTCGCGCGCGCACGAGGGAGGCACGTTTGGTAGCATTTGATGACGTGTTGAAAGTTTTAGTTCGTGCCAAAAGATTTGCAATAGCGCAAGAACATATTTATTCTTGGAAAATTACGGGTGCGAAACCACTGGTGTGTTATATGTTTTCGGGGCACTCGATTTGGAAATCCTTGCGGCACCTAAAAAGTTTTGAAGGATGTCGGCAAGCGCGCACGGCGACGCGCGCGTGTACACTGATCCCCCTGTTTAGCAAGGGATTCTTGGAATCTGGTGATGTGTGATAGCCAGTGCGCCAGCATAACATTTGTTGCAAATTATAAGGGGGGGGGGGGGGGGGCGAAAATGGACTGCCTGGGATGGTACGAACTCAGATTTATAGGAAGGACGATGGCGCAGAATCAATTGCACGTTGTAGTACCCCAAAAGCGGGCCGTTAAGTCTGGGGGGAGGTAGATCCTCATACCCTTTAAGGAATTAGAAACTACGTGGTGCAATCTACATTGTACAATCTAGGCGGCGACAGGGCGACGACCGGGCGGCGAGACGGCGACGGCAACCACGGAGCCGCCAGACCGCCACCCAAGCCCAGACGACGGGCGGCGACGATGCGGCGACGGCGCAGCGATGGCAAGTACGAAGCCGCCAGACCGCCAGCCAGGCCCAAACGACGGGCGGCGACGAGGTGGCGACGATGCGGCGAAGGCGAGCAGGGAGCCGCCACACCGCCACCCAGGCCCAAACGACGGGCGGCGCCGAGGCGGCGACGGGGCGGCGACGGCGAGCACGGAGCCACCACACCGCCACCCGAGCTCAATTCCTTAGAACAGAAATAGGATACCCTAAGTGCTAGCACTGTCTGGGAACCTACATACATACAGATACATAGATACACACATACATACATAAATACATACATACAGACAGACAGATATACATACATACGTACAGGCATAACATTGCACGACATGTTATTACATCACACAACATTACATTATATTACATTAAATCACAACACATTACCTTGCCTGTCGGCGTGTGCGAGGGGCTTGGCTGTTCGAATCGTCGTCTCCGTCGGTCGTCGCCTCCGTCGTCCCCTTTCCCTGCAGCTTCCTTCTCAAGCTCGTGAGCGAGAGAAACATCTAGCAGTGTCGTAACCGAGTCGAAGGGAAGCCCCTTCCCTTTGATCCCTTCCCCAGGGGGGGGGGGTCCCCCGGGGGGTCCCGGGGGGGGTCCCGGGGGGGTCCCGGGGGGGTGGGGGGGCAGATTCGTTTTTCCTCGGGCGGCCTAGAAACCTCGAAAACACTCCAAATGAGGTCCGAATGCCCAAGATGGCCCCCGAGACGGCCCAAGAGGGCCCCGAGTCGCCCAAAGATCGGCCGAAAACGCCCAAGATAGCCCCAAGACCGTCCAAGAAGCCTCCAAGACGTCCCAGGCCCCCTCCAAGAGACCCCCAGGAAGCCCCAAGAGGCCCCCACGAGGCTTCCAAGCGGCCCCTAAGAGCTTCCCAAGAGGCCCATAAACTACCGCCAAGAGGCCCCCAAGAGCGCTCGTCGTCGTCGTCGTCGTCGTCGTCGTCGTCGCCATTCAGGGTCGGCGGCACCGGCCGTAAGGCCTTCGCAATCACAACACATTACCTTGCATGCACTACATTACATTACATTACCTTACATTACATTACAATACATTACAATACAACACATTACATTACATTACATTACCTTACATCACATTACATTACCTTACATTACATTGCATTACATTACATTACATTACATTACATTGCATTACACTACATTACATTACATTTACATTACATTACATTACACTACACTACATTACATTACATTACACTACATTACATTACAGTACATTGCATTACATTACACTGCATTACATTACATTACATTACATTGCATTGCACTACATTACAATCATGCATACATACAGACATGCACACAAACATCCCGACATACAGACAGGCATACGGGCAGACAGACAGACAGACAGACAGACAGACAGACAGACAGACAGGCAGGCAGACAGACATACATAGATACTTACATACATGCATGCATACAAGCATACACACATGCATACATGCATACATACAAGCATGCATGCATACATACATTCATGACAGACAGCAACACATTATATACACTGCATACAATACATAGTTTACGCACATAACACAAAGTATGCACATCATGCACAGAACATGCATTCCATAGGTTACGTGCAATACATGTATTACATACACCACAAACATGTATAAACATATGCATGCATGCATGCATGCATGCATGCATGCATGCATGCGTACGTAGAAATATACATACGTATATACATACATACAAATATTTATGTACACACATATATGCATACAAACATATATATAGGCATACACATATGCGTACATGCATACATACATGCATATAAACATACACGTATACACATATGCATGCATACATACATACATGCATGTATGCATGCATACATATGTACATACATACATCGATGCCTACATGCATGTATGCATCCATACATGTATGCATGCCTACATACATACATAGATATATTCATACATGAGTACATTCCCGTCGCCGAGTCCTGGTAGCAGATGCGGGAGACCCCGGCCATCAGCAGGGACTTGGCGCACTCCCAGCAGGGCGGCTGCAGGCAGTACAGGTGGCTCCCCTCGGTGGCGACACCCTCCCGGGCGCACCGCGAGACCAGCATGACCTCGGCGTGCAGCATACGGGCTCTGCCGCCCGCTGGCTCCCCCGCGAGGCCACCCGCCTCCGAGAGCCGCCACGGCCAGTGCGACCCGAGACCGAGGATCTCGAGCTCTGGGCGGCCCCACCAGCGCCTCGATGGACGGACGTAGGGGAACGAAGAGTGACATAAACATGAAAACTCGGAGGTCCGCGCGGATTTCTCGGAGCCGCGCTGAACCCCCTGGCGGCGCCTCCGGCGCCGCCCCTGGCGCGCTCCTCGCGCCAGGGAGGGCGGTCCAGCGCCGATCCGAGAAATCCGCGCGGACCTCCGAGTTGTTATGTTTATGTCCGTCTTCGTTTCCCTAGGACGGGGCGGCACAGCACGGCCCCGAACATGCCCTCGGCCAAGCCGTGCCAGCGGGCGGCATTCGAGGACACGACGTTCGCCAGGTTCAGTAGGTTCTCGTCGTAGCCCAGGTGCGGGCACCAGGTCCAGCCGTCGACTTGCAGCGGCCCCCACGGCTCGCCTTGGCGGCGCGCAGAGAGGGGGGAAGAACTTCTGAGATGGCGGGGAGGGCTTTTCGCAAGGCTTCAGAAAACTTCCAAGAAAGCTTCCGATCTGAGAGGGGCAGGGAGCGTCTCGAGGAGGCACCCAGACCGCCCTTTTGGCCAACCGCCGCCTCCGGGCTCTGGAGGCCAGACGATCCTCCAAGGCCGAGCAAACGGTGTGGCTGGCTAGCGGTGCGGTCTGGACCCTGGCTTCTGCGACAGACCACCTCCGTTGTAGGCGCTGGCTGCACACAGCGACGCACCTCCTGTGAAAAGCGCAGTGTCGAGTCGCCCAGTGTCGAGTCGCACACCACGCCGTTGCGGGCCGCACCGTTCGTCCGCCTGTGGGTCCTGGGCCCCCGCGGCCACAGCCGCGCCAGCGCGCGGGCCACCACGCGGGCCGCGGCGCGGAGCTGCGCGCGCCACGGCGCCCCCGCGGAGGCGAGGCCGCGGCGGCGCCCCGCTCCCGCCGCGCCACCAACGCAGCGGCGCGGCCTCGGCCGCCGCTGGCGGCCCACGCCGCGGCGGCGGCCGCCGCCGCCAGCGCGCCGCAGTTCCGCGCCGAGGACGCGCGCCTCCCAGCAGCAGGGCCCACAACTGAGGAGGACCTCGCCGCAGCCGCCGCCGCGGCGGCGCCACGCGGGCGGCGGGGCCACGCCAATGGCGGCGGGCTGACAGCTGGCGCCGCTACAACGGGCATAGGCGGTCGGTCGGCGGCAGAGGGAGAAGGAGGGAGGATGGAGCTCCTCCTCCTCCTCCTCCTCCTCCTCCTCCTCCTCCTCCTCCTCCTCCTCCTCCTCCCACTCCCCCTCCCCCTCCTCCTCCTTCTTCCCCTCCTCCTCTCCTCCTCCCTCCTCCTCCTCCTCCTCATCTCCCATCATCATCATCATCATCATCATATCATCATCATCATCATTCATCATCATCATCATCATCATCATCATCATCATCATCATCATCATCATCATCATCATCAGCATCATCATCAGCAGCATCATCATCATCATCATCATCATCATCATCATCATCATCATCATCATCATCATCATCATCATCATCATCATCATCAGCATCATCATCATCATAATCACCATCATCATCATCAGAAGCAGCATCATCCTCCTCCCCCTCCTCCTCTCCCCATCATCACCACCACATCCATCATCATCATCATCATCATCATCATCATCATCATCATCATCATCATCATCATCATCATCATCATCATCATCATCATCATCATCATCATCATCAGAATCATCATCGTAATCATCACCATCACCATCACCATCACCATCACCATCACCATCACCATCACCATCACCACCCACCATCATCATCATCATCATCATCATCATCATCATCCTTCTCTCTCTCCTCCTCCCCCTCCCCATGTCCCTCCTCCTCCCCCATTATCAATGCACCTGTCATCAACATCATCATCAGCAGCAGCATCAGCATCAGCATCAGCATCATCATCAGCATCCGCATCATCATCAACATTATCATCAGCACCATCATCATCATCACCATCATCATCATCATCATCGTCATCATCGTCATCGTCATCATCATCATCATAGTCAGCATCATCATCAGCAGCAGCATCATCATAATCCTCATCATCACCATCATCATCGTCATCATCAGCAGCATTAGCATCAGCATCAGCATCACCATCAGGATCGTCATCGTCATCATCATCATCCTAATCAATATCACCATCATGGTCATCAGCATCAGCATCATCAGCAGCATCATCAACAACAGCACCATCATCATCAGCAGCATCATCATCAGCAGCATCATCATTAGCAGCAGCATCAGCATCAGCATCAGCATCCGCAGCATCACCATCATCATCAGCAGCATCAGCATCAGCAGCATCGCCATAATCATCAGCATCATCAGCATCATCGGCATCATCAACCTCAGCAGCATCCTCAGCATCATCAGCATCATCAGCATCACCACCACCACCACCATCATCATCGTCATCATCACCAGCATCAGCAGCACGTCAGAATAATAATCATCATCAGCAGCATCAGCATAAGCATCCATCACCATCCATCATCAACAGCTTATTCCTCCTCCTCCTCATCCGCCTCATCCTCATCATCATCAGCACCACCACCATGATCATCATCACCACCGCCACATCCACCACCATCATCATCGTCATCGTCATCATCACCATCATCATCATCGTGATCGACAAACGTCATCACCAAAATCAGCATCGCAATCAGCTCCACCACTGTCATATTCAGCATCCTCAGCCTCATCATCACCACCACCGTCACCATGACAATCATAATCAGCAGCATCACAAGCATCAGCATCATGATCTCCATAATTACAAGCATCATCGCAAACATCGTTATCATCATCAGCAGCAGCACCGTCATCGTCATCATCAGCATCATCAGCATCAGCTGCAGCATCATCAGCAGCATCATCGTCATCGGCATCGTCATCGTCATCATCAACATGACCATCATCGTTTTCATCAATATCACCAGCACCATCATAACCATAATTCATCATCGTCCTCAGCATCATCATCACCACCATCAGCATCAGCGTCATCGCCACCAGCAGAAGCATCACCATCACCGCCATCATCCTCACAGTCATCATCCCCTGATCACCATCATATGTTTCGCCTCCTCATCATCATCGTCCCATTCCTCTTCGTCGTCCCCCTCGTGGCTCGTTGCTGCGGGCACTAGTGTTTCGAAGAAACGCTGCCCCGCACACCTTCTCCCCCCCCAGCGGCCTTCGCCTCTTGGGGTAGGGGGGCGAGCGGACGAAATGCAGCAGACAATTAGGAAAGCGCCAAAGAAGATAGAGACGAGGGAAGACCGAAGGGAGGAACATAGCATAGAGGAGGCAGGAGGGCAAGGCTGATGGTAGCGCGAATGCGCTGATGCGGCCGCGGCCGCTCTCCCAGTGCGCCCGAACTAAACAGTGCTTGCGTTGGGGGGAGGAGGGAGGCAGTCTGGCGGGGCGGAATACACACGACGGGTCTAAACGCAGTGGTGGGCGCCTGGGGCGGGCGGGCACGCATGCTTGGAGGGGCGCCAGGGCGCGGGCCCAAACCTCCAGAGGAGGAAGTGCGGGCCCACCTTGCGGCGTCTTCTCCGAAGAGCAGGGCGCTCCCCCTCCCGCTGATGGCGAGGGCCTCACCAGCCCCCGGCCTCCAAAGCAGCGTGCGCGGCGGCGAGGCGGCGAGAGCGGAGAGCGGCCAGAGTGCTGGGCCCGGCAGCTCGGACGAGCAGGCGCGAGCGCGGAGCGGGCGAGGGGAGCGAGGGTGCGCTGCGAGAGGGGGGGGAAAAGAGTGGGCCGTCCTGATATTTTGAGGTGGCCCGAGCAGGGCACCCGTCCCCCGAAGAGGGGGGCTGGTGTGATCCTGGCATGGCTCGGAGGTTACAGCTGGCTTGCCAGAGTGGTTCGTCGACAGTGGCCCGCGTCCCCTCCGTCCCCCCCGCACTTTTCGGCCCCCGGCCCCCCGCCCCACTGTGCAACCACATCGTGGCGCCAGGCAAGTGAGTGGGCAAATGAGCGGCAAGAAAAAAAAGAATGGCAAATGAACAAAACGAAAGACGAGGGGGAAAGACTATTGAGGCTTGGGCGGCAAATTAGTGGGCGAGACACTCTGTGGCAATTCTCAAGCATGTGGTGGTGCCTGGTCACCTCCGCTGAAAGACCACCCACGTTGTCCATACCCACCAATATCGAAAGCAACTAACCGTTTGGGCAAATCCGGTCGTTGAAACAACACATGGATGACGTATGCAATTGCCGACCACATGTTGGCGCCGCCACTTCGCACACTGGAAACAGCCATCCAAGTTGTCACCCACCTTTCTAGGAAGTAACCACCAAACTGAAAATACCCACCCGCTGTTGGAAATACGCACTCACTACTGGGTCCTTTGAAAGAAAACTGATGCCGTCGAAAAAACGATGTTTACAGGAAGAGGAGCGAGCTGTCGTCGCCAAGCTGCTGGAGAAAGCAACCCTGGCTGCCTGCAGTCTGGGAAAGATAAGAGAAGGCGCTGTAGATCAAACGTGGAAAACTATGACGCACGTGGACAAGGATTCCCCCGTGGGGCAGCCCCCACCGCAGGGCTGCTGTGGCGTGGCGGTCGCCTCCTGCCCGCATGCGATGTAAAAGGAAACGTAAAATGCAATAGCGCAACGGGAGACTGGCCCGCGCTGCCTGCGCGCTGCGCTGAGGGAAGTGGAGTCAGTCATCGGCACCCATAGCGGTGGGGATCGGAGGGATGGAGCCCCAGCTGTTGCACCTCCTTTTTTGATCTGCGGCTCTAAGGACGGTTCCAGAGAGGGGGTCAATCTCGACAGGGGCGCAACGCGAGACGATTGGCAACGAAGGCACATAGGCCAACGCCGCAATGCACGTGCGAGGGACAAAATGAACCTCATTAGAGCCGACCCGGGAACGGAAGGCGGCGGCAGACTGGA